ATTTTTAATTTAATTCATACTGATGTTTGCTCTATGATTTATAAGTCTCTTGAGGGTACATTATACTTTGTTAGTTTCATTGATGATCACTCCAAGAAAATTCAGGCCACACGTTTGAAATCTAAAGATCAGGTGCTTGATGTCTTTAAGGATTTCCATGCCAGAGTTCAAAGAGAAACTAGTAGAAAGCTTAAATATATTCGAGCTGACAATGGTAGTGAATACAAGGATCCTTTTAAGAAGTACTGCAGAGAACATGCTATCAAGTTGGAGAAGACAGTTTCTAAGACTTCACAGCATAATAAAGTGGCTAAGAGAATGAACCAAACCATTATTGAAAGAATTATATATATGCTCTCTTATGCAAAGCTGCCTAAGTCCTCTGAGGGTAAGACAATGAAGACTGCAGATGCCATGATTAACCTTTCTCCATCAATTCCTCTTGAATTTGATATTCTAGATAGAGTTTAGAAAGAAAAGAATGTCTCTTATGCACGCTAAAGAGTGTTTGAATACAGAGCATTCGTACATGTTTCTAGGGATGAAAGGTCTAAGCTTGACAGCAAGATAAAATAGTGTATTTTCTTGGGCTTTGAAGATGATAAGTTTGGCTATAGGTTATGGGATCCAAAGGAAAAGAAAATTGTGAGAAGCAGAGATGTTATGTTCTTTGAAGATTAAACCATTGAAAACTTTGAATAGAAAGAGAAAACATAGTCTACTACTTTTATTTCATCTAATTCAAAACCAAGACGTACTCCACAGTTACTTTTGATGCCTGTTAATCATGGGAGAGATTTGTAAAATGATGATAATAGTGGTTTTGTTATTGAGTCATTAGTTGGTGATCTTGAATCAACTAATGATGATATTGATGTTATTTCTGAACAAGATATGCAAAAAGCTCTAGATGAGCCACAATTAAAGAGGTCAATCAGACCTCATCAACCTTTCACCAAATATTCCCCTCATTAGTATGTATTAGTTACTGATGGAGGAGAGCCAGAATGTTTTGATGAAGTTATGTCACATGAGAAAAAAAATGAGTGGTTGAAAGCAATACAAGAATAGATGAAATCATTACATGAAAACTAAACTTTTTGAGTCAGTGAAGCTTCCTAAAGGTAAGAGAGCACTCAAGAACAAATGAGTGTTCAAGTTGAAAATTGATGAACATTGCTCACAACCAATGTACAAGGCAAGATTGTTGTGAAAGGTTTTGGTCAAAAGAAGGGTATTAATTTTAAAGAATTTTTTTCACAAGTGGTTAAGATGTCTTCAATCCGAGTTATGCTTGGCTTAGTTGCTAGTTTGAATCTTGAAGTTGAATAACTTGATGTGAAAATTGCATTTCTCCATGGTGATTTAGATAAGGAGATCTACATGGAGCAGCTTGAAGGGTTTGAAGAAAAAGGTAAAGAGTAGTTAGTTTGTAAGTTGAAAAAGAGCCTATATGGGTTAAAATAAGCTCCAAGAAAATGGTACAAGAAGTTTGATTCTTTCATAGTGGATCATAGTTATGACAGGACAACTTCTAATCATTATGTATTTATAGAAAGGTTTCCATATGGAAACCTTATTATTATTTTGTTGTATGTGGATGATATGTTGATTGTTGGTTATGATGTTAAGAAGATTCAGATTTTAAAGGAAGAGTTAAAGCAAGTCTTTTGCGATGAAAGACTTAGGACTTGCAAAATAAATTCTTAGTATGAAGATCATACGTGACAAGAAGAAAAAGAAACTTTGGCTATCTTAGGAGAGATATGTTCAAAAGGTACTTGAGAGATTCAATATGAGTAACTCCAAATCTATTTATTCTCCATTTGCAGGCCACTTTTAACTAAATTCTAAGCAGTGTCCTTCAAGTGATGAAGAAAGAGATGAGATGATAAATGTTCCTTATGCAACTATAGTTGATAGCTTGATGTATGTCATGATTTGCATAAGGCCAGATATAGCTCATGCAGTTGGTGTGGTTAGTCGGTTTCTCTTCAATCTTGGTAAAGAACATTGGTCAAAAGTGAAATAAATACTCAGGTATCTCAAATATACTTCTAGTTTCAGTTTATGTTTTGGTAATAATAAACTTGTGTTGGATGGATACACAAAAGCAAATATGGCTAGTGATGTTGATTCTAGAAAGTCCATATCAGGATACTTGACGAAGTTTGTAGTGGGAGTAGTCTCATGGCAATCAAGGTTATAAAAATATGTTACATTATCTACTACAGAAGCTGAATATATTGCTTTTATTAAATGAGGCAAATAGTTGTTATGGATGAAAAAGTTCTTACATGAACCTGGCTTAGTTCAAGATAACTTTGTGTTACACTGTGACAGTCAAAGTGTAATCCATCTTAGTAAGAATCTTACTTTTCACTCTTAAACAAAACACATTGAGGTTAGATATCAATGGATTTGAGATACTATGAAGATGAAGTCATTTATTTTTGAGAAAATCCATACCGATAATAATGTGTCAGACATGATGACCAAACCTCTACTGAGATAGAAGTTTGAGTTTTGCAGAAAGGAAGCAGGCTTGTTAGAGCCTTCTAAATTGAAGCTTACATGTTGATCATCAGTATGACGAATTCCTCACATGATGCGCGAGGAGGGGGATTTTTTGCGTGTAGTCTCTCACTATGTGATGATAGAACCACCACATTAATTAAGAAGAGAGGCAGCTAGCTGCCTATTTGATTTAAATGTGTTTGCTATTGTTGATGCAAATAGCATTATTGAACAAAAAAGAAAAGAGGAAAAGGGAGAAAGAAAGGAAGAAGAGGCAGCAGAGCAGTTTGTATTTTTTCCTTGATTTATAGCTCATTCACTATTGGATCGGGCTGAGATTTTGACACTAACTTCTAGACACGTTATTCTTCATTTTGAATGGTTGGATAGAAGATTAGTAGTATGAAAGCTGACCGTTTTGACAGAAAATAATGTTGTCAGTATTGTGAGTTTTTTCTCAAATACTTCTTCTTTAATCTTGTTGTATGTTGTTCTTGATGATATGTATGTTGTAGCCCTTAGTTGAATCTAAGAAAGAACAATTGTGAACCCATTATTTGTTGATAGTGAAAGTTTTTAGATGGATTACGGTCCCGTGGTTTTTCTTACATTGGGTTCTCCACGTAAACATTTTAGTGATTTATGTGATTATTACTTTATATTTGTTGATTGTTTGATCCTGATTTTGATTGTACAAAGAGAAAAAAGAATTAAAACTTCTAAATTGTGAATTGATCCATGAAAATTACAAAATTACAGTTCGGTTATTTATTTCTAGTTTCCAAAAATATACACACACTCTTTATGAGTGTTTATGTTTTAAGGAATTACAATCATCTTACAAGATTAGCATAAATGATTACGATCTAAGATCATACGTTCAAGTCCTGTTATAATTATTAGCTCGTGAATTTTTATTCCTACCCGTGGATAATTAGACATGGATTAAATTAACTGTTCCTTGAAAATTTAATCATAAATTCCTATTTTCTTGCAACTGTGAAAAAAAAATTGAATTTAAACCTGGTTGTGTTGTGATTTTGTCGGCAGAGAGTGAAAAATTAAATTTGAAGGACAAAAAAATATGACACCTTCACGAGAGAGATGGAGATTTATAGGATCTCTAGCCTGTTTGTTTGTTTTTATGTATTTTTTTAATATTTTTAAATTATTTTGAAGTGTTGCTGTTAAAATTAAATTTTAAATAATAATAATAAAATATTATTTTAATATGTTTATAAATAAAAAATATTTTAAAAATAATTACCATTATCA